TGGGGGGAGGAGCATGAGCTATATTACCCAAGGGTAGAGGGAGGTGTAACTATTTTAACTAAGGATTTAAGAATAGCGAGCCGTCCTGAAGGAGGCCAGCTAGGGAGGGAGGGAGGGAGGGAGAGGAGGCCTGGGGAGTCACTAACCATTACTGAAGAGAGAGTTACCTTGTTCTTGAAGTTATTTTAAGATGATTTCGGGGCTTAGCGTCCCCGCAGCCCGGTCCTCGACCAGGCCTACTTTTTGTTACACCCCCCCCACAGGAAGCAGCCCGTAGTAGCTGTCTAACTCTCAGGTTCCTATTTACTGCTAGGTGAACATGGGGCATCAGGGTGAAAATGAACTCTGCTCATTTGTTTCCGCCTCTGCCGAGGGGATCGAACACGGAACCTCAGGACTACGAATCCCAAGCGCTGTCCACTCAGCCGTCAGGCCCCACACCAACGGGGGAACCGTTGGTGGTGTGGGGGGGGGGCACTAACCATCACTGGGGGAGGGGGAACCGGTGGTGGTGTGGGGGGGGGGCACTAACCATCACTGGGGAGGGGGAACCGTTGGTGGTGTGGGGGGGGGGCACTAACCATCACTGGGGGAGGGGGAACCGGTGGTGGTGTGTGTGTGGGGGGGGGGCACTAACCATGACTGGGAAAGGCGGCTCTCACACACCAAGAAAAACGTACCTTAGTTTCTTTGCCTGATTAAAACAGTCTATAATTAAGTTTGCCAGTCGAGTAATTGCGTCCTGTTGGCTTATTATGAAATAATACATAAAAGTGAACTACCAATCTTGAACTTTAGCCATTCGCAACGAGAGTAAATTAACTTGTATGTGCAAAATTTGCGGAATACGCAGAGTGCTTCTTAATTATGCAGTGTTCCCCAGGTGCGTCTTCTTAGTCAGGCACATATGTCCTGCTGTTCAGTTACTACGAACATTCTGCTGGTCTGCCTCGCGTTGATCAATTTTATTGAAATAAAAGACAAGCAAAAGAGGATTAAAAAAATAAAAAAAGACCAATATTGTAAATTGGTTCACCCGCCTGGCGATGGCCGTCAGTTTACAGCAGTGTGTGTGGATCAAAGCGAGCGTGGCGCCTGTGAGGGCCAGCGGCGTGTGAGTGTACTAATGAGCGCCAAACCTTAACCTGATTAACCCCCAGTGTGGCGCCCTTTGACCTCGGCGTGGCACCCTTTGACGCTGCCGACCACTGGCGGAATGCCTCGGGTTGCTGGCTCAGCGGCCCGCCTAAATGTCACTTTGTCACACCTCAATAAATGGTGGAAACAGATAAAAAGGCAATGTTGTACGCGTCCCTGATGGCGTATTTGTCCTAATATTTACCTTTGACAACTCAAACACTTTTTTAGCAGAAAGTGAGTCGCATACAGAGTGCTGCCACCTGACCCTCCAGCCATGGATGGTGCGACCACTGCTCCCTTCTTGATCACTCCGCTTCCCCTTCTGCACCCTGCTGAAGGACCCCTGCTACCATCTGCTCCACGAGTCCTGCTGAAGGACCCCTGCTACCATCTGCTCCACGAGTCCTGCTGAAGGACCCCTGCTACCATCTGCTCCACGAGTCCTGCTGAAGTACCCCTGCTACCATCTGCTCCACCAGTCCTGCTGAACGACCCCAGCTACAATGAGCTCCACGAGTCCTGCTGAAGGACCCCTGTTATACAGACCTTGCTGAAGGTCCCTTGTCACCATCTGCTAATATTGCCTTCTGATGGGTCAATGTTACCGGTGATCCTGCAGGAGGTCTCCTGTCACCGCTTACCCACTGATTCTGTTTTTTTTTCCGTGACCTCCTGAGTCTGCCATATTACATCCGTATATCAATGGATCCCCCATTGTCCAGCGTGGATCAGAGAGACACGGACACCCTGAGACAAAAGTGTAGCGGGACGAGAGAAGCTGCGAGACAAAACACCAAGCGAGAGGAGTGCGGCCAAGACAGGGGCGGACAAAGGGGCTGGTGGCGGAGAAGTGACGGTAAGCATGGCAGGACGAGCACCAGCCTCCCTTGGGTGACATTGTGGCCACTGCTGGGGGCTGAGGTCGGGGGGAAGAGGCTGGGAGAGTCTTAACGTGGGAGCTGGGGAGGCAGGGGAAGCCATCCCTTGGGGTCTGGGGCTGCAGGGGAGGGGGGTGTCTTCCAACTAAGGCAGGGGTTCCCATGCTGGGGTGCGAGATGGCATTTCAGGGGGGTGGGGGGCGGGGGGTGAGACAACGAGGAAGGCTGCGTCGCGATTCGCCCCCCCCCAAAAAAAAAAAATTATCGTCCTTATGAATAGAGTAAAAAAATGCTACTGAGGCGGGATTAGATCCCTTGGTTATAATGACAGGTTATTCCAACCAGGTGGGAAACGCTTATGACTTGTCGGAAAAAAATAATTAAAGAGCAGGTAAAAGTAGAATATGAAAAGCTTAAACATGTGACATTTGAAAATGCTGTGAGAATACTTTACTTTAGAATGTCAGTCATTTATCATGCAGCTCCGCGCCCATCCCGTGAATCGTGTGATGGACATTTTGCTTCGGGAGATTTGAAGATTTCTGAAGAATGGATCAAAAATCCATATTCCTACAATTTGGAGATAATGACAGATGATGCTGAGCTGAAGGCAGCTGTTATTGATTTCCGGACAAGTCGAGCTTTTGAAATGCAATTTGAAATCAAGACTTTTGGAGGAGTTGCTGGTATTCAGAACAGGATATTACTTCCATGACCTGGTGGAAAAACACTCCACCTCCTCTTTCCTGTCCTCTTACCATTTACAACGACATGCTTGTGTGAATCTGGATTCAGTTTTTTTTGTCACTCAAGACAAAATCTAACAATCTCCTGAATCCACAGACTTGTGGGTCACAATCAGCAATAAAAAATTCCATGTCTCGATAAAATCGTGAATGAGAAGCAAAAACAAAGAAGTCATGAAATTTTGCGTTCAAAATTGAGATTGATTTTACTGTTTAATTATTGTTCTAATTGTTGAGTTTATATTTAAATTTTATACACTGAGTTAAAATATTGTTTTTAGTTCAATTTCTTGTACAATATGTTGCTCACCTTGTGGTTTAATAATTAGAAATTTGTCTGTCATCTTTTAATTTAATATAACTGTTGTAGGAGGTGGGAACCTTAATCAAACATTTCTAGGGGTGAGGAGCACAGAAAAGGTTGGGAATCCCTGAACTAAGGGGAGATGGCTAGACACGAATCGAGGTGTCAGTAAAGATTCCATTATCAAGGGACGGGAACTAAACTTACCATTAATGGAAGGGAAAGTATTGGAAAGGAATGATGAAAACGCAGAGAGAGAGGGAAAGGCTTAGTGTATAAAAGAAGAGGGAGAAGAACCCTCTAAGGGTTGAAGAGGACGAGCTACTAATGGGACTTGCTGAGAAAGGAAGACTTCCCTCTGAGGCGGCAGCACTCTCGGGGACTACCCATTAATGAGGCGGGGGAGGGAACTTACGCACGACCAACCTGGACTTCCCTATATTCAGGCACAAGAATTTTCTACGAATTTTCTTGCCCCTTTAACTTTATGGGTTAGGACCGATATCTAACACTTTCAAACCATGTATCAAAATGTTACTTTGATAAATCTTTAAATGTAGACATTAGCTCATCACTTTTTATGGTCATTAGGCTGAACAGGAATATAAAAAGGATATAGGACACTGCAGTAGGCCCATTGGCTCATACGAGGCAGCTCATGTCCAACTCAACTCATTCTTATACATATAAAATCTACGCGACTTGGGACCAAGGTTTCACTAATCAACAATCAGTTTACATATTTACCATTTTATGATAAATATAATAAGACATTTAGGTAGCACAACCTGACCTGCCCTCACTACAAATGTTATTTATTTCCTTATTTAGTTTCTTCATCCAGTGAAGATTGGGTCGGAAAGAACCCAATCTTGGTGGTCATCTGGGAGGTCATTCAAGATTCGGGGTCTTGGGAAATCAGGGCTCTGAATGTGTCATAGCTTCTGGTTGGGGAGGGATTCTTCTGGTTATATGGGGGCTCTTGGATTTCATAAACTCTTGATGTACTTATAATTTTCAGTGGGTCTTCTCGATCAGAGATATAGAGGCCTTTCATATATCATAACAGTCTTCTTGAGAGGTGACAGAGTCTGGTGCCCATGGGCATCATCCTGCAGCCTATCCTCCTAAGGTTTCCCAACGTCAAGAAATCGATCAATTCAACCTAACAGAGGACCCAAAATAGGGACAGGATGTCACTTTCGCGAGCCGCTTCCATGTTCTTGTACGGCAATTTTTGGCCTTATGTAACACATACGAGCGAAATACGACGTTTTTTGTAAGAAGACAGTTTGCATCTTGAGGGAGCTGTGAAGCTGGTCATTCAAGGCGATGTTTACAGAGATGCGGAGCGCTCCTCTCCTACCATTACACGACCTGGTGCAGGATGGACCGAAACGTCGCCAATTCCTTTACTTACAAATTTGTAGTCGGGGTGTCTAATAAGGGCTTTGAGATAAAGATTATTTTGGCCACCGTGACACTGGACACATTTAAGAGTGATTGTATGATATTTGTTGACAGGAGTCTGATCTGTTTGGTAAACATACCAGCAAGGCCTCTGGGACCTTGCTGGGGGAGCTGCTACGACACCTGACCTGTGAAGGCGGGTCACTGGTCAGGTCAGAGAGCGGTCTTCAGTTAGTTTTGCCGCTTCAATGACGGGGGAGATTGGGAGGGATGCTGAGTGGTTGTTCGTCCCATGGTTGGCTCTGTCCACGTTGTTAAATGCTCTGCTGTTGGATGCATTTAGTCTTTTTCCAGACGGAGTCCATGGGCGAAGGTAACTTCTGCTGCCTTCCCTACTACCCGGGAGGTAAACATTCTTGCCCTAACGTAACGATGCCATTCTTGCCCTAACGATGGGCAGAGTTTCTTTCACCCTGATGCCCCTGTTATCTAGCAGTAAATAGGTACCTGGGAGTTTGTCAGCTGTCACAGGCTGCTTCCTGGGGGTGGAGGCCTGGTCGAGGACTGGGCCGCGGGGACACTAAAAAAGCCCCGAAATCATCTCAAGATAGCCTCAAGATAACGTCAGTCACGCAGCGGCTATCTCTTCCATACTGGCTTACGTTCCCTGCCCAAGAGATCTCACAGTTTCTAATATTATTCCACAGCCATAAACAACCACTTGTTATGGTGTTGGGACACTTTAGGGATCGCTAATGTTTGCAACCAGCACCCTGCCGTGACGAGCACCCTGCCTTGACGAGCACCCTGCCTTGACGAGCACCCTGCCTTGACGAGCACCCTGCCTTGACGAGCACCTTGCCTTGACGAGCACCCTGCCGTGACGAGCACCCTGCCGTGACGAGCACCCTGCCGTGACGAGCACCCTGCCTTGACGGGCATGACTAGAACCCAAGGCCACAAGGACTCTCTTGCAAATATCTTGTGTAAAACAATAATCTTAAACCACACTTCCAGGGTGTCCCCCTCACACCACACCTACAGGGTGTCCCCCTCACACCACACCACCAGGGTGTAACCCTCACACCACACCACCAGGGTGTCCCCCCTCACACCACACCACCAGGGTGTCCCCCTCACACCACACCACCAGGGTGTCCCCCTCCCACTACACCACCAGGGTGTCTCCCCTCACACCACACCACCAGGGTGTCCCCCTCACACCACACCTACTGTCCCACCTCACACCACACCTACTGTCCCACCTCACACCACACCTACAGGGTGTCCCCCTCCAACCCGTTCTCGCAAATTCGTAAAGTCAATATTGACTTATTAACTACGTGCATAAGTGATATACTAAACATAATAGATACCCTTAAAAAGATTCATAGAAAACACCGACCTTACCTAACCTTGTTATTATCTTAAGATAAGCATCTTATTGCTTCGTAATTACAATTATTACTTAACCTATACCTATTATAGGTTAGGTAATAATTGTAATTACGAAGCAATAAGATGCTTATCTTAACATACTAAGTAGGTTAGGTAAGGTCGGTGTTTTCTATGAATCTTTTTAAGGGTATCTATTATGTTAAGTATGTCACCTATGCACATATTTAATAAGTCAATATTGACTTATTAAATTTGCGAGAACGGGTTGCCCCCTCACACCACACCACCAGGGTGTCCCCCTCTCACCACACCACCAGGGTGTCCCCCTCTCACCACACCACCAGGGTGTCCCCCCTCACACCACACCACCAGGGTGTCCCCCTCACACCACACCACCAGGGTGTCCCCCCTCACACCACACCACCAGGGTGTCCCCCTCACACCACACCACCAGGGTGTCCCCCCTCACACCACACCACCAGGGTGTCCCCCTCACACCACACACACACAAGCTAGCGACTCTACTATAACATCTGCCGTAACTGTGCGTCACCAGCCACAGCCCCGCTCCTGTGCCAGGCAAGACCACTACGGGCTCACCATAGCCCGTGCTGCTTGGAACTGTTCGTTCCCAGTAACTGAATCACAAACAACAACACACAAGGGCTCTGCTGGTATTCACAAAGACTCAGGGAAGCGTGAGCATGTAATCGTTTACACTAATTCCCTCAAACTGCACCATCGCCGTAGACACCCTCCCGGTACCCATTAAAAGTATATAAAGCAGCGGTGAGCGCTCACTCACAAATCACGGCCTCTCGCTCCAGCGGCGGGCCCCCTAAGGCGGCCACCTTCAGTTTACGACCCCTGAACAGCAATACGCCCAGCTTGCCGTAGTTTTACCCTTGAAATTATCGCCCTCCCCCTCCCCCCCCCACCCACCCAACGGCCGCTAACCCCCACAGTCTCACACCTTTCCTCCTGAACAAATCCATAAGGGCCGTGACGAGGGTTCGAACCTTCGTCCGAGAGGATTCTAGACGCAGCCTTAATCGACTGAGCTAGTCCTGATCTTGTTTAGGGTGAGAACGGAGGCTCGTCTACGACCTCTGGGCTCGTATGGCTGGTTCTATTTCACTGGTCGGATATCTTGCTAAAAGAATGTCTTTGTCAGTATGGCATTGCTCTTGTACTATGTCTGCACGTTTCATTGTTTGCCTGTACCCTCGTGTTTATGTCTGCCTGCCACTCATGTGTGTATGTCTTTTTGTATGTGCATTCTTGTACTCTTGTTAAAATGGTTAGTTGTGCTGGTAGCAGAAGTTAGGCTTCAGCTCTTTGGTTCCGCTTCTCAGTCGACTATATACATATATATATATATATATATATATATATATATATATATATATATATATATATATATATATATATATATATATATATATATATATATATATATATATATATATATATATATATATTAACTGTCACATATATAAAAGCTAATTTAAAAATACATTAGACTACAAGACGAAATTTATAACTACTAAAACAAACCATTCTATTAAACTTACGTGAAGTGATCAGAAGTGAAACTTGATACCTAACACATAGATACTAAACACTATAACAAATATTTATATAATGACTACAAATCTACAAAAAATGTATATAAAATACAAACAGAATAAACGACAATTATAAAGTACTAACCAAAATCTTATAAAAACTCAAATATTAAATAAAATTAAATACCAAAAATGTATTATATATCCTAAATAAAAGATTATAATAATGTACAATGTCAAGACTTGAAATAAGTAAGAAAGGGCAAAGGCATGATAAACTAAACAAAAT